CCACGTATATGGAGTGTGTGGTAGTGTTTAAAAATAGCATATTATGTGTGTCCTCGTATATAACATATTATGTACTTTATAACATAATAATTTATAAATTCGGAAATTGCGTAAACGAACTATACATTTCACTGAACGTTACTTCCGTCCAAAAATCCGGAACCGGAGGCCCTTTTTACTCGTACTGGTAACGAGGTTTTTTTTTCTCAGTCCTCAGGGGTGACAACGCATCTACATTTTGATTTTTTATCGAGGATAGATGTCTGTAGGCATTCACTTAACATCATGTGCTATTTGTCATTCTTATTCTATATAATAAAATTGAGATATCCTTAAGTTGCAGGGTAAAGAAGTGTTTTGTTGATATTTCAATGAACCTTTCATGTTTTTGCCACAAAACAGATCCAGGGTTGCTTTACCATGTTTCATTGTGTCAAACGAGCACACAGTCCAATTGATGGTAAGTGGTTGCTGCGGCCCATAGACATCTACATCTATCCTCCATTCAACACAAATCCACAAATCAAAATGTAGATGCGTTGTCACCCGTGAGGACCAAGATGGAATGCCTCATTTCCAGTAAAAAGGGCCTCCGGCCACCTGCACTCACCAAGCGAAACGCAGAGGTAAACCTCTACTTCACGCTGGTTTTCTATGAGGTCGTGGTACCACCCCGGTTTGAGCCGGCCCAACCGTGCGACAGCAAAAGCTGCCGCGTGGCTCTACCACTGTGAGAACAGAACAGTACATGTACATTAAATGAAGGTTTACGTTAAAATTATAATTATAATAATAAAATTATATATTTTAAATGGCTTAAATATGGCTTGAAAAGTCCTTGGGGTAAAAAAAATTCGTAAGTAGTGCGGCAGCTATTGGTATAAAATCTCATGAGGGATTAACCTGGAAAGGAAAGCAGGTTTTCTAGTAAGTAGGTTTTTCCGTAATGATCATTAATTTCCGTTAGCAGAAATGTAAAAACTTTACCAATTAAATGCAATATAATATTGAAATAATTTATCTTATGAAACTCTTTTGAACCAAAGTCCTCTAACGAACGAATTTTGTAAATAGTTTTTCCTACTAAGTTCTATATGAAAAAAAAATTTAAAGGAAGTTGGAAGCGTGGTTGTAGTCTTAATTAATAGTAAAATGTGAAATTATTAATAAGTTTAAATATGTGTAAGTTTAAATATAATTAAATATATAGATAGTACTGCTACGTTTAAATTTAATTATTCTATTTTTTTATTGTTATTTTTTTTCTTTTATTTTAAGTTGCAAGTTATGATTAAGTTATTAATTACAGTAGGCACATAGAATGTAAGTGGGTGATTTATTCGCCAACAAACTGCCCTGCAGTTTGGCGAAAGTAGTGTTAGAAATAACCGAATGTATTTTTGTATAATAAACATTAAAAAAAATTAACGCCTGCCACACGTTGCATTGCATTTCCCGCTACCACCGCAACAGCCTATTAAAGTCCACTACTGAACATAGACATCCCCCATGGATTACTTCTAGGGGAAATATTTGGTATAGTTGCCACGCTTGGCAAGGTGAGAAGGACGCCGCTGCTGCCCATCTCCTTATTTGTTTCCCTCTGTCGGCTGTTACGACACCCACAGGATGACATGGGGTAGTGTATATTCTTACACTGCCACTACACGGTGCATTTCCAAGTGTCAGTTATAGAGCTCTTTCAGGTTCTATTGCCACATTTCGTCTCATGAATATCGTTATAAGACGTAGTCATCATCATCATTACAGCTTTTCACATGTCCACTGCTGAACATAGGCCTCCCCCAAGTTATGCCACAAAGCATAGCCTGAGCCACCTTCATCCATCGACTGCCTGCTTGTCTTATCAGGTCGTTACTCCATCTAGTGGAGGGTTGCCCTACACTTCGCCTACCGGTACGAGGCTGCTACTCGAGAACCTTTTTCCCCCATCGGTTGTCGGTTTTTCGAGCTATATGGCCGGCTCATTGCCAATTCAGCTTACTTGTCCGTTGGGCTATGTCGATCACTCTGGTTCTACTGCGGATATCCTCACTCCTAAATTAATCACGCAAAAAAACCCCAAGCATAGCTCTCTCCATAGCCGTGACTAAGGCAAATGTCAGATACCTCTTATCGCATCCGAGATGGCGGTATGAAGATCCCGCTATCGCCAAAAATACCCTGGACGGCGTCAAAGGCTCACGATGCTGGGTATTGTGATGATTGGCCGGTCAAGCGTGAGGATCAAAGCAAATTATCTTTACAACGTGAGAGACGAATACCCAGCTGTTGACTTTTACAGTAAGGAAAAATATGTAATTGGCTTACTCATTACCATCTCAACTTGCTGATCTATCAGCCTTTGTCGGTTTGTACCCGCCGTCTCCGTACCACTTGTTTCTTGCAAACCACTATTTAAATAATTAGGTGTTCTTACTTTGCCATCCATGTACATTTTTGAGCTTTCAATATTCGTAAAAAGGTATCCTCATTTTTTTACTAAATTAAAAGATACAGTAAAACATAGTACCAGATACCCCGAAAAAATTATTTTGCCGTCATTAAAAACTAGTCTGTACTCAAAAAATTGTTATGTGATTTCTATTCAAGTGTTTAACAAAATCCCAAATGAAATAAGGCAATTAGATTATAATCGATTTAGACGTAATTTATTAAAGTGGCTTTTGGAAAAACAATTTTATTCGGTAAATGAACTGCTAAAAATAAAAGAACGTTTCTAGTGACTGTTAAAACGATTTTTCTTCTTTGGTCGTGTTTTAAATTGTTAATATCAAAATTGTAAACTGATGCACGTTTAATTTGAGTTAAATATATTGTATTTTCTAATCATAAGTTTTCATATACCAAAATTGGTGAAATATGTGATACTTTATTATTTCATACGAACATCTTTGTACCATATTTCTTATGAATAAATTTATTATTATTATAAGACCTAAGAACTTTATAAAATATATATTTATATTACATTGATCATATGACATTATTCTGCTGAGTAAAACGTGGCTCAAATCCAATATATGTGATAACGAGTGCATTCGTGATTTATTTTATATCGTAGTGATCAATTTTTTTATTGTTTTCTTTTTCTTTTTTTCTTTTTTTTTTAATTAATTGTAGAAAATAGATGTAAAAATAATAATTATAAACAGGATAGTAGAGGGTTATTAATGGCTGTTTCTCGTCGTTTGCAGTCTTCTACAATGCATAAGTGGGAAATTCAACGTGAGAATTAGTGGGTGTCTGAAAATGAACTTAAATAATATAATCGGGAAGATTGCTATATGTTCTATGTCCATAAACCTCGTCTACCTAAATAAGGAACCCAGATAAGGTTCATAAATAATGTGAATGACGTTTTTGATGAAATTGTAAGCACTAACGTAAATATCTATTTTATTTTAGTCGTATTTGTGATTTGTTACATAAAACTGTTTCTTATAATGCAAACAATGTTTTTTGCCTTTATAAAATGTATTGAATAATGTTTTCTTGCAAGTTTTGTTTAAGTTATGAAGGGATCCTTAAGGGTTTAAAAAGGTTCAACTTGGAGACGAACTTACCTATCCGGTCCACTTTTATCATAACTGGAAATATTGTAACAAAAGTTTTCTCGACTGAAATATTATGAACGGCATTTTGGCTAACATAATTTAATATGAGGTGATTTATTTGATAAATTCGATTGTCTCTTTAAGAAAAACAATGTAGAACAAATTACTTTTAATAAAGAATGTACATCAAAACTACGTTAGGTAACATTTAAATAACATTTGAATACAGAAATGTCTTTAGAAAGCTCTTTAACTTCAAAGAGATGAATAGGTGTCAACAATTAATTTGTAAATCTTAGTGTAAATTACCGAGACGTTGAATTAGAGGATAAATTACTTACAAGCACAGATAATTAATTTAATCGGTAAGTCAACGTTGATATAAGACTGAATTACAATTTTAGGTGCTGACTTATCACGTGAGTGACGATGAAGAAAACCTTTCGAGGAAACTTGTGGGTCTAATTAAAAAATATTTCAAAGAAAGAGTATTCTTAATCGGGGAAGCAACATCATTTCGCAGCGTGAGTCAAGTCGATCAGAAAGAACTAAATCGTCCACGATTCGTGCCGCGCTTCTCTGGATGCGGTCAAGTAGAAGGAGCTGGCACTGCCGTACCGCAAATTTGAGATGAGAACAGTATACCAAGTGTGGCCAAACTTTCGTCTGAATACGTTTGTGAAATTGAAATTATTCGGATGTGCGGATGTGGACGAAAACTGGATTAAAAATTTCATTTTATTTAAACCTAGATACATGCATACATACATAAATACACACATTGAGGTCAAGTTAATAAAAGCGTGTTAAAAATATCCTAAATTATTTATTTTTTGAGAGTTAGATCATTTTTAAAGTCATAAGTCATAACATGAAGAGAGGCGGGAAAAAATTCTAAACAAAACAACGATATTCTAAAATATTGCTAAAGACAAAACGCAATGCTTAAACTTTTAGGGAGAAGTCGAAATAAAGCTTGTAAATCTACAAAATAACGAAGTTTAAAAACATAATGGCCGTTTGGTCAGAACTGACAACATTTATTTAACCGAGATACTCGTAGATTGAGATAAATGTGATTTTTAATCGATGAAAAAAAAGGAGGAGGTTCTCAAGTCGACGTGTATATATTTCTTTTTATGTATGTCCACGCATAACTTTTTACAGAATAGTCCGATTTTTATAATTCTGTTTTTATTAGATAGGGCAGGGCTTCCCAAACTTATTTCTACTGTGACGCCCTTAGGAATTTGCCACTTTTTTTCGACGCCCCTCCTCTGGCCAAAAAATACCTACCAGTTGTAATTCTAGGCTAGTAACAAAATACCAGAAAAACTGCAAATAACATTTATAATTTTTATTAAATAACAAGAAAAAAAAAACAAGAACAAAAATGAAAAGTGATACTTTGTTGGCTGGCTACTAATGAGAAGGATGTGCTTGCTTTTCTGAGCATAGCTTTTCAAAACGTAGCTCAAGTTTAGAAATTGCCACTCTCATCTCTTTCTCTACATTTATTTTCGATCTGTACTTGTTCTTTATTACTGCAACTGTAGAAAAGCCTGTTTCGCACAAGTACGATGTCGCAAATGGTAATAGAACCCTCAATGCTGCATAGCTGATGGCACGATATTCGTGAGAAACTGAGCTCCAAAATTCAAGCAGTTTGTCTTTGTCGTATTGGAGCTTAAGGCTGGAGTCACAGGACAATTCTATTAATTCAACTTCTTCCTTTGTCGAAAGTGTTGATGGTGAGGTCGATTAGAAAGGGTCCAGTCATATTGCTCCAGATTTTCGTGAAAATAGTTTTCAAAATATTCACTTAATAATGACAAGTGCTGTGTAAATATTAGTTTTAGAGAGGAATCAAGGCTTTCTATCGAGTTTTCCTGTAGAATGCATTGTAGAGCAGGGAAAGAGTGAGTATGTACATGAACTTCTAATTTTCTCTTCCATAAGAGCAACTAACTTCTTCTAAAACCCAGTGATTTTATCTGCCAGTTGCAGTATGTGAGTATTGTTTCCCTGCAAGGATTTTTTTAAATTTTTTTTTCAATTTCAATTTAATTCTTTATTTGCGCAATATGGGTACAGATGGTGTTACAGTGGTAAGTTTACATTGTTGATCGTAATATTTAGGCTCATGCCATGCAAAAATTCTCAATTACATGCTATAGTTTAAATTAAAATTATTACATATCAAATTACAGTGTCGAAATAATTATTAAAAATAATGTCAAATGAGATTACCTAATTAATACACAATCTCAACTTTGTAAAATAAATGTCACATAAAATGTCTAATTAATATCACAGTACCACTAAGCCAGTTACAATACTACATCTAATAATTTGTCTTCAAGAAATTCCCTTAACGAATAATATGAATTTTATAAAAGTAGTGTCTTCACTTTTTTTTTAAATAAATTATTATTTGAAATTTCAAGCAGAGAGTTGGGTAAATGATTATACACTCTAGGAATCATACAAAATACACCGCTGTTTAAAAGTTTAGTTTTGTTAGACATGAAGCTTATTTGGAAAGGGTATCTCTTGCTATTTAATTTAACAAATAAGTTACTATTATTTTTTACAAATAGTACCATATCCAGTATATAAATACACGGTAGTGTCAATATTTTAATTTTTGGAAATATCGACCTGCAGCTCTCGGTTTGTTTCATTCTGTATATAGCCCGAACGCATCTCTTTTGCGCTCTAAAGACCAACTCTTTTCCTACAGAGTTGCCCCAAAACATAACACCATACATTAAAAGAGGAGTAACATGTCCATGGTAAGCCATTAAAACTGTGGATGTACTGGCAGTTTTGGACAACATGTAGATCGCATATGAATATTGATTAAGTTTCGAACACAACATCTCTGTATGTGACTTCCACTTTAGATGAGAATCAATGTTCAGTCCCAAGAATTTTGTTGTCTCTACTTCTTCAATTTTTGTTTGTGTATAGTAGATTTTCATGTCCGTTAAATTGTGAACTCTGTTTCGAAACGTCATTAATTTAGTTTTTTCCAAATTTATTTTTAAATTATTTAAAGTCAGCCATTTAATAATATTGTCTAAGGTATTGTTTATCTCCAATTCTATTTGAGTTTTTTCTTTTCCTGTAAATATAATTGTACTATCGTCAGCAAATAAAATAGTGTCATTGCTTGTTACTTTCGGGAGATCATTTATGTATATAATAAATAATAATGGACCTAGTACACTGCCTTGTGGCACACCAAAGTTATTGATTTTGTACTCTGATTCATGTCACATACAATTTTTTTGTGAGGACAGAATCTCGTTATGTGTGTAGACTGTTTTCTGTTACCAAGATAGCTCTTAATAAGATCATGCGTATTTCCCCTGACTCCATAGGAAAATAACTTATCTAGCAATATATTGTGGTCAACATAGTCAAATGCCTTTGTTAGGTCCATATAAAGGGCGCAGGCATGGTTTTTATTATCCATATTTACCATAACACTCTTTAAAAATGAGAAAACTGCCATATTTATAGTTTTGTTCTTTCTGAAACCTACCTGCTCTTTTGAAAATAAATTATTTGTTTCGAAATAATTATTTAATCTTTGATGAATTACTTTTTCAAAAACTTTGGATAGAACCGGTACTAATGCTATCGGTCTATAACAGCTCATGTCATTTCTGTCGTTTTTCTTAAAAATAGGTTTGATTATAGTAAACTTTAATTTGTCAGGAAAAAGACCATGATAAATGCATTGATTGATAATATGACTCAGTACATGTGATAATTTCATAGGAACATATTTTAATACTTTGGTTGAAATATCATCGTAACCCGTACTATTCGTAGGTTTTAAATTTAAAATAATTTTATTTATTTCATTCGGTGTTGCGGGTTTCATAAATATAGATTTAGATTCACTTGAGATATTAATTGGAGTTCTATGCGGGACCAATTTGGTGATTTGGTTAATATAATATTCATTAAATTTATTCGCTATGCTTATGGGGTCTTTAATTGTAGTGTTATTGATAGTAATTTGTTGTATTTCCTGATTTGGTAAATTAATTGTCCTATTATTAATTACAGTCCAAGTAGCTTTGCATTTGCTTCGAGCACTATTTATGAAATTGTCGTTTTTAACCTTTTGTGTGAATTTGATAACACGACTCAGTCTTGATGAAAGGTCTATAAAACTTTTTTTATTATTTTCTGTTCGGTTTTTTCTATATTGCCAAAGAAGCTGACGTTTACGTTTACAGCACTTTTTTATACCTTTCGTTATCCATTTCAGCTTCACTTTTGTGTCTTTTTTAATATACTTTACAGAAAAACATAAGTTATAGAAAAGACAGAAAAAATCATAAAAAATGTTAAACGAAGTATTTCGATCATTACTTTTAAATACATCATTGAAACTCAGAGCGTTAATGCATTCTTTAAATTTATCTAAATTCTCTTTACAGTAGTCCCGCGTTTTAATGTACCAATATTTGATCAGATAAATTACTTTTACTGGACATGTAAGTACTTGTGCAGTGTGATCAGATAACGCAAGTTCCAAAACTCTTGTTTTACAGTCACGAACATTATACATGAAATTGTCAATACATGTGCCACTTACCAATCTAGTGGGCTCTTTTATTCCTATTTTCAGGTTATACGCAGACAGAATTTCACTTAACTCAATAGTTTCCTTCCTTTTTTTCAGAGTATTAATATTAAAATCGCCACAGAGTATTACTTTATTTTTTCCAAGGCAAAATTGATTTAATAAAGAAGTAAATGTTGCTAAAAACTTATTGATGTCTTCGGAGCTTACCCTGGGGGGGTCTGTAAATGCAGAATATATATAGTTTATGTTCAGGTAATTGTATTCCTGAACATTCGATTACACCTTCAATCGAATATTTTTTTATGTTACTGATTGGTATAAACTTTTGTGAGTTATGTACCAGAATACAAGATCCACCACGACGATTCCTACGACTAAACACTGAACCCAATGAATAATTTGGAATGTTTAAGATATATAAATCACTACTAGACATATTGTGTTCGGTAATGCATAAAACTTTAACATCTTTTACACTTTCTATAGATTCTAAAGATGTAGTTAATAAGTTACACTTGTTTATGAGGCCGTTAATATTTTGATGAAGTATACTTATTTGGTTATACAAGAAAAAAGTTGGTAGAATTAATTTGAGAAGTTGTTTCAATTACCATGTCAGTTTGGGTGCTACTATTAGAAAAGTTATTACATTTTACAGGGTCGTCAAACATGTCAGTTTGGGTACTATTTTCAGTAAAGGTCTTCTTATGTTTCGGTATGTCATTTAAGCTTTTACAGTATATCTCATATTTTAATTTATAATCCACACGTAATAATTCTTGTAGAAGTAACTGGCTTGTATATAGAGGAAAATATTTGCGCCTAGGTATCATGACAGAATAATTCATTTCAATAAAATTAACACATTCAGAGCATATAAATTCAATTTCATAATTTAATTTTCTTTCATTAAGATATTTGTTACGTGGTATTTCTGATACTAAAATATTGGGTTTGCTCGCATTGTTTAAAAATTGTCTAAGGAAAAACAATAGTTCGCGAGGATTTTTATCATTAATTTCTCCAAGTATTATTACGAAATCATTGCTGTTCAATTTGTTTAACTCAGATTCTGCAGGCGCTAACACCTCTTTTAAAGGGCCTCCATACTTCGAGTAGCAAGTTACTATAAACTCATAACCAACCAAATTCTGCAGAGTTTCTCTTATTTTATAACCTTGTTCATCCGCTACAGTAACAATTTTTCGTTTCCCTACTTTATTACCCTTTTCATGGGAATTTATTTGCTCTTTACTTGCATACAGAAGAGGAGTGTCACAGTTTATTTCTGGTTTTTGTTGATTATCTTTTTGCAATATTTTATTTGAAAATGTAGTACAACAGGCAGGCAAGTTCATGGGTTTTTCAGACGGTGTTGTCAAAATTTTTAAGTTGTCATTATTTATCGCATTTTGTTCTAATGCATCTAAAGGTCGATTTGTTTTAGTAATTGGGGAATTATTTATACTTTGACTATCTGTTCCTGGGTTTGTTATTTGTGCTGGACTTTTTAAGATCTTATTTTGTGAATACTTTCTTTTGCGTCTTGGTGTAGGCGTCATACTTTTCCTATCAAATGTGTTTATTCTTTTGTATGAGTCTATTATTTTTAAGGACTTATCAAGGTCAGCTTTTAGACGAAAATTTTCGGAATTAAGGTTCTCAATCTCTTGATTAGCACTTAGAAGATCGTTTGTTAATGATTTAATTTTTTCGTTTAAGTCTTGTAAAGTTTGACTATTGTTGTGTAAGGTATCAGGTAGACTCATTATTGTCGTATCAAATATGCGTGATTCTTCGATGTTGGTCATGTCACTTAGTGAACTAGTTCTGTAAGGTTTTCGATATGTTATGTTTTCTAAATCCATGTATCGTCGAGTCTGTTCTGTTTTGTATAATAATTGTAATTAATTTTGTTGTTGTTTATACGAGTATAACACTTTGCCAGCGAACTAATTATTTTTGATGTTCTCTTAAATTTATAATAACGAAGAAAAATCACAAAAAGTGTAATTGATGTTTTGTGGGATCCGAACTCACACTTCGTCAATTATGTGGTCAACACTTAATGCATCGCGCTACCCGTTCATTTACTAATACATGTGAAATTGCGGTATAGGTTGTTCGTTGATAACAAATAAAAGTTCGTTAAACAGATTTAAAATTTTTCTGTAGATCAAAGTCCATTCTTTTTGTTTAATGATGACCGCTGGTTTTTTTTTCCGTTTTTTATCATTTGTCACTTATAACACTTATTGTTTATTTTAAATAGTATACATTACACTTTGAGCACATTATTTGAGTTTTATTAGGATTAATATTATTGCCTTTCACTAAACTTTGAAATGTTTTTGCTTGTAATTTGAGTAATTCCAGTCACACTGAAATTTTAATTTAACCACTGGAATCATGGATTTAGTAGCATTAAAATGAATACTAACACAACTTTAAACGCGAATTTTAACTAATTATTATGACTGTTTCTTTACGGTGCAATGTAGCACACCGTGCACACCGTGAGACTATTAAAATTTATTAAGATAATTTAATTTCTAGAGAGATATGCCAATTTTATTATAAACACACAACACACAACACACACCCAGAGGGGTAGGCAGAGACTACGGACTTCCATTTGGCGCGATCCTGACACACCTCTCTCGCCTCCTTGACTTCCATATATCTACACATACACGCTCGTCGATTAAGGGTTCTCCTAATCTGACCCATTTTCATTGTATCGCCGATTTCGTAGATAAATCTTCGTCTAAAGGGTCGAATATCAATATAAATCCGTCAACTCAGTGATAAACACCAATGAAAAACAAAAAATATTGTTTACAAAGTAATAATGTAGTAGGTGTAGTATTTCGATTTCGTTGTAAAAAGATAATACTCCGTGTCACTTTCATCAGATCAAAGGCTGTTCGTGTTCATAAAATATAACAGAATTTTATTTTATATTCATGTTTATTTAACCTTTAAATCCCTACACTATAACAAAGATTGTTATATTTTATAAGTATCCAAATATAATAAACAATTTATATGCTATAACAAAATGAATAACGTAAAAAAAAAAAAACATTTAAAAATCCTATTAGAACCATTTTCTCCTACGCGCATGAATTCGCGGGCAAAAGCTACTCATAAAAATGTACAACTGTACAGTGTGTGTTGCTACTGATGACTTAAAGATATGAGACGTGATCTTTAACTAATGGCCGTATTAGGAATTCCTCATACGTCCATACGTACGAGTACGTTCAAGTTTCTCTAAGTCAGAATTTGTAAATATACGCATCAGAACCAGACTATTCTTGTACGTTCTTATACGTGTTAGAGCCATGCTGCAGCTATAATAGTAGTATAGTTGTAGCACGAATGGATCGGTTCGAAGGACCACGTTCTCACAAAATGCCAGCGTAAAATAGCAACTTGACACTGCTGTGTTTCGAATGGTCAGTGTAGACAAACGGCCGACCCTTTTTACTGGAAAAGAGGCATTCTATCTTAGTCCTCACGGGTGCAGCGCATCTGCATTTTGATTCTTTATCGAGGATAGACGTAGATGTATATGGGTCACAGCAACCACTTACCATCAGGTGGACTGTGTGCTCGTTTGTCACCCTATCCTATAAAAAAAATTCTACAAAGGATTGTAAGCAATGTTGAAGCGGCTGTATAGCTAGCAGAATCAACAACCGTTTGGGAAGAAAGGAAGGGTGCCAGTCTTGTACCCGGTAAGTGGAGTGTAGGACAGCTCCCCAAGATATGAAATCCGGTATCTTACTGGAAGTCAATTGATGCAGGTGGCTCAGGAACATGGTTTGTGGCGTCCCTAAGAGGAGGTCTATCTGTAATTAATAAGTAGCCCCCCCCCCCCCGGAGTGACGACCTTGTAATACATGTAGACAGGCATGCATTCAGGACCGTGTCTTGAGGCTCCGTTTCGTTGCTTGGGGTCAGGCATTTGTTCAGCAGTGGACTTGTGAAGGAATGTCATGATAATTCTGATCGTGTTTTTTTATAGTATAAGTGTGACAAACGAGCATACAGTGGATGCTAAGGCCTATAGACATATACATTTATCCTCGATTAAGAATCAAAATGCAGATGCATTGTCATCCCTGAGGACTAAGTTGGAATGCCTCGTTTCCAGTAAAAAGAGTATTAGGTTCTCTACACCACCCTATCCTATAAAAAAAATTTTTTATCGTCTAATTCTTTATCGTCTATCCTCGATAAAGAATCAAAATGCAGATGCGCTGCACCCGTGAGGACTAAGATAGAATGCCTCTTTTCCAGTAAAAAGGGTCGTCACCATACGGAATATATCAGTACTAAGCTGCTATTTTACGCTGGTATTCTGTGAGAGTGTGGTCCTGCCCCGGTCGAGTCGTCGTGCTACAACCGTAATATTATATTTGTAGCTTGGCTCTACCACGTATATGGAGTATGTGGTAGTGTTTAAAAATAGCATATTATGTGTGTATATAACATATTATGTACTTTATAGCATAATAATTTATAAATGCGGAAATTGCGTAAACGAACTATACATTTCACTGAACGTTACTTCCGTCCGAAAATCCGGAACCGGAGACCCTTTTTACTCGTACTGGTAACGAGGTTTTCTATCTCAGTCCTCAGGGGTGACAACCCATCTACATTTTGATTTTTTATCGAGGATAGATGTCTACAGGCATTCACTTAACATCATGTGCTATTTGTCATTCTTATTGTATATAATAAAATTGAGATATCCTTAAGTTGCAGGGTAAAGAAGTGTTTTGTTGATATTTCAATGAACCTTTCATGTTTTTGCCACAATACAGATCCAGGGTTGCTTTACCATGTAAAATAAATAAAGGTTTACGTTAAAATTATAATTATAATAATAAAATTATATATTTTAAATGGCTTAAATATGGCTTGAAAAGTCCTTGGGGTAAAAAAAAAATTCGTAAGTAGTGCGGCAACTACTGGTATAAAATCTCATGAGGGATTAACCTGGAAAGGAAAGCAGGTTTTCTAGTAAGTAGGTTTTACCGAAATGATCATTAATTTCCCTTAGCAGAAATGTAAAAACTTTACCAATTAAATGCTAATATAATATTGAAATAATTTATCCTATGAAACTCTTTTGAACCAAGGTCCTCTAACGAATGAATTTTGTAAATAGTTTTTCCTACTAATTTTTATATGAAAAAAATTTAAAAGGAAGTTGAAAGCGTGGTTGCTAGATACGTGTTAATACTATAGTCTTAATTAATAGTTAAATGTGAAATTATTAATAAGTTTAAATATGTGTAAGTTTAAATATAATTAAGTATATAGAAAGTACTGCTCAATTTAAATTTAATTATTCTATTTTTTTATTGTTATTTTTTTTTCTTCTATTTTAAGTTGTAAGTTAAGATTAAGTTATTAATT